CACACTTTCCTCTACGGGAAAATTAGGACAGACCATGAACACTGTTTGTGTAATGATATTAAACGCCTTCTTTGTTGTGGAGTTTCAAAGATTAACATAAAATTACATAGTTTGTATTTCCGAATCTAGAGAGAAAGTAAATAATAAATCATGTATTATATGGATTTGCAGTTTTAGTGGCTCTTGTATCGGACTGTTAAGTATGGGGTTGGGGACATTTCGATATTAATAATTGAGGACACATTCAAGAACATCTCTGGACACAAACCAAATAATACCAATTACAGATACTGATTAAGTTGTCTTATAGTCCGATATTGAATATAGATACTGATTTGCATTTTGCTGCATATCTTAAATTAATTCTAATTTTTTTTTTTTAGTTTTCAAAATTAGTTTTAGCTAGAAAATCTTGTTGTAAGAAATCGTTACTTACTTCAACTGGTTTCTGTACAAAAATAAAACCATCGGATATAGCAACAATAAAACCTAATAATATTAATAGTACTATTTACTTTTAACAAAAAAAAATATTCACTGATTCAGATTCTTCATTTTACATTCTAAATCAATATATATGGATGGTGTCTGGTGTCTGCTCTTACTATTTTTTTTAATATCCGAATTTTCAACCAAGAGAGCTAAACTAAACCATTACGACTACTTTATTAGATTTGCATTGGTACACTACGTACCACGAGTACTCTAACAATTGGCCTAAGATTGTCAAGATTTTAAATTTATTGTAACTTCACTAGTTCAAGTCTACATATAAGAAGAGTGATTTATATCTTAAAACAATATATCAACAACTGGTTCAAAACACCGAAGAAAATTAGAATTTTTTTATTGGTAGTCTCTCACTTTAGAGAAAATATATATTTTAATAGATGAGTATCCCAAACAATGTAAAGTAGCATTGAAGATGCTTTTATGAACCAAAGATATGAACTTCTACATTTTGAGATGTTAAACTTTCTCTTTAGTTTTTGGTAATAGTTCGGTTAAACAAACATTTTATACGGTCTAAACACACGATTAAATTTAGCTGGTCTCTACAAAAAAAACTGGTAGAGGTCATCACCTTTTACGTACGACTTAACCTAACGAAGAAGCGTGCAAAGAGTAGAAATATTGGTAAATCTTATAACATTTAATACTAGTCAATTT